ACCTTCTTTTCTGAATCCATATGTTTATGCTTACTACTGTATTGTGATGGTATCATTGTCTTAGCTTAAACTAAGCAATGAGAAATTGTTAATTATACAAAACACATTCAAATAGCATACGCTCTTGGAATCTGTTGCTAAAATTTATACTTTTTTTTTTGCTTTTCCTCAGAAATATTGTTACACCCTCTACAATGGACACAGCTTTTGTCACAGTATATAGTAGTGAGTTATGAAACTCAGTTTACATAGTAGATATTTTGTATTCCTTGAGATCTCTGGTTTAGTATTATACATCAACTTTTATGATATTTTGATCACATGTTCAATATGATAGTCATATATAAAATATGTTTGAATTTGAACTGACATTTTGCAATTTTTCTTCATGGCTAGGAACTATTTCTCAAGTTTATGATGAGTCTGGACTCAGCTATCTGAGTCTATTATAAATAGGAATACCACAAGTGGGTGGCTTTGGCACATAGGAATGTGTTCTCTTTCTCACAGTTTAGAATGTTAGATATCTGAAATTAGAGCCTAACTTACGGGGAAAACATTCTCCTTCTTATGGCTCTGGGAAAAGATCCTTGTCTTTTCAGTTTTCTAGTCCCTCATTATTGGTAATCTTTCTATGGTATGTATCTATCTTCCACTCTCTTTTCTTAATCACTTACTTGGTTAATTTCATTTATATATAAAAATATATTTATTTCAAGCATCCTATAAAATGCCTCATTACTATAACAAAAACGTACTTCCAAGAGGGATTGCAGCCACAGGTATAGATGTTAAGATTTGGAACACATGTTTGAGGGGACACAATTTAGTCTCTAAGAAAGCAATTCTCTTTTATAATAAAAATATTTCTCTGTACTTTTATTACAGGGAATTTGCCAATCATATGTTGTCTCTCTGATATTCTGCCAACTATTCTTTCTTATCATTATGTCCACAATTCTGATGTTGTCTACAATCACACATTTTATAACTACGTCCAAAAGCCAAAAGTTGATAAGGTCCTCACCCCCATCAGAAAACCTGTTATAATTTTCTTAGTATTTTTTTTTCCTTTTCACCATCTTGTAAGAAAATGTTGTAACATCTTTCATCATATCTCCAAACCCTATTTTTCATACCATTTACAACTGAAAAGGAAACTTTGGCATCTAGAAACTCTACTTATTTCCTTTACAGCACTGACTCTCAGTTAGAGGAAATTTTGTCCCAGAAGACATTTGCCAATGTCTGGAGATATTATTGATTGTCAGAACTTGGGGAGTGCTCCTGGCTACTGGGTCAAAGACTAGGATGCTGCTAAACATCATGAAAGGCACAGGAGGGCCTTAGTATAAAATATCGACAGTGCTGAGATTGAAAAGTCCTGTTCTAAAGTATAATGCCCAGACAGAAATCTTCCTTTTTCTTCTCCCCTTGTAGGGATCAAAGCCCTTTATCCTTGCATATTCATTTACAGAATTGTCCATGGTTTTGATATCAGGGTTAGGGTAAGACTGAGGAAAAACTGGATAGATTATGTATACTTAATTGAAACAGATGAGGGAGAGAAAAGTTTAAAAGTGAAATATGATAACATATTGTGATTATCACAGGAAACCTGAATTAAGGTTGCATAGTGGAGTGCATTTGGGGCTGGGTCCGGATTGTGTACCAATGAAGAAGTTTATCTTTTGCTTTTCAAAGAGAGGAGCAAACTGGGGGGAGTGGGGTAAAGGAAAAAAGTGCAACAATGAATGAATGAAAATCCAAAGTTTCTATAAATGTTCATTAAAATGAATTTAAAAAATGGTATTTTACCAATATGATCAACCACACTCTGAAACCAATTAGGAGCTCTATTAGCAGTAAGAGACAAAGCCTAGAGTCAAGTCAACAACGTTATTTTCTAATCACAAGTCAAAGAAAGTAGAAAGGTTTAAAGGGATATATATATGTAGTTGTTGTTGTTATGTGCTGTTGAGTCACTTGAGACTCATAGTGACCCTATGTACAACAGCCCTAAACCCTGCTCTATCTCTTGCCAATCTTATTGTCTCTGACACACCTATCCTCATTACCCTAGTGACAGAATCAACTCATCTCATTGAGAGTCTTACTTTCCTGTGTTGTCCCTCTACCCTCCCAAGCATGACATCCTTCTCCAGTGACTGATCTGACCTTGCAATCAACTCTTCTTCTACCATCCCTAGTCACTGTCCAGCTCTCTGATGCATAGCAAGTAATGGCAAAGACCATGGCCTGTATCAGGCGCACCTTAGTCTCCAGACTGATATCGTTGCTTCTCAGTACTTTGGAGAGTTCTCTGACAGTACTTTCCCAATGCATTTCATCTTTAATTTCCTGGCTGCTGGTGCCAAGAGTGTTGATTGTATAGCCAAACAAATTGAGCCTGTCTACAATCTCAATCTTTTAACCATCTATCATGATGCTGCTAATTGGCCCAGTGGTGAGAATCTTGCGCCGCCCCTCCAATCTGCCAAACATGATGTCCCTCTCCAAGGACCAGTCCCACCTTGCAACATGTCCAGAGTATATCAGACAAAGCTTCAGAATCCTTGATTCCAAGGAGTATTCCGGCTTCACCTTCTCCAGAACAAACCTGCTTGTTCTCCTATCATGGTATATTCACTACACTTCTCCAGCATCACAGATTAAAGGCATCAGTTCTCTTTCTATCATCCTTATTCACTGTCCAACTCTCCAATGCATAGCATGTAATTGCTAAGACTATAGCCCGGATCAGGTGCACCTTAGTCTCCAGCCTGATGCCGTTGCTCTTTAGTACTCTCAAAAGGTCCCTCACAGCTGACTTTCCCAATGCAATTCGTCTCTTGATTTCCTGGCTGCTGTTACCAAGAATGTTGACTGTGGGACCAATTAAACTAAAACTGTTAACTATCTTAATCTTTTTACCATCCATACTGATGCTGCCAATTGGCCCAGTTGTGAGAATCTTTGTTCTCTTGATGTTGAGCTTCAATCCATATTGAAGGCTGCAGTCCCCAACCTTCTTCAGCAAGCGTTTCAGGTCCTCCTCAGTTTCAGCAAGCAGAGTAGTGTCATCCACACAACACAGGTTGTTGATGACTCTTCCACCAATACAGATTCCATATTCCTCTTCATAAAGTCCAGTGTCTCAGATGATTTGTTCTGCATACAGATTGAAAAGGTATGGAGACAGAATACATCCCTGACGAACCTGCTTCTTGATTTTGAACCATGTTGTGTCTCCTTGCTCTGTTCTGATGACTGACTCTAGGTCCAAGTATAGGTTTCGCATTAGTACAATCAAATGTTCTGGGATTCTCATTCTTCTCAGAGTCAGCCACAGCTTGTGTGATCCACACAGTCAAAAGCCTTTGCATAGTCAATGAAGCACAGATAGACATTATTCTGGTATTCTTTGCTTTATGCCAAGATCCATCTAACATTAGCTATAATACCCCTAGTACCACGACCTCTTCTAAATCCAGCCTGCACATTTGACAGTTCACTGGTGACATATTGTTCCAAATGTTTTTTGATAATTTTCAGCAGAATCTTGCTTGCATTTAATTTTAATGATATTTTTCGGTAATTTCTGCACTCTGTTGGATCACCTTTCTTTGGAATGGTAACAAATATCGATATTTTCCAGTCAATTGGCCAGCTGACTGTCCTCCAGATTTCTTGGCACAACTTAGTGAGCACATCCAGGCCAGCATCTGTTTGTTGAAATAAATCAGTTGGTATGTTGTCAACTCCTGAAGCCTTGATTTTTGCCAATTCCTTCAGAGTAACTTGAACTTCCTCCTACATCACCATAGGCTCTTGCTTATATGTTATTTCATCAAATTCTTCTGTGTCAGCCTATTCCTTACACAGTGATTCTGTGTATTCCATTCATCCTTATTTGGTATTTTCTGGATCATTTTACAATCTATCCAAAGTATCCTTAAGTATTGCCACCCGTGGCTTGAATTTGTTTTTCAACTCCTTCAGCTTAAGAAACGCTGAGCGAGTTCAGCCCTTTTGATTTTATGACTCCAGCTATCAGCACATTTCGTTATAATATCTTGCCTTGTCATCCTGGGCTGCCTTTTGAAATTTTCTGTTCAGCTCTTTGATTTCTTGGTTTCTTCCTTTAGCTTTAGCTTCTCAGTGCTCTAATGCAATACTCTAGTCTCATCTGACATCAGATGATACTCAAATGATACAACTCATCATCTGATATCTATCTCATAGTTGTGTCATCTGAGTATCATCTGATGACTATGTATATATATATATATATACACACACGTATATAGATATATAGATGATATATATAGATATACTGCATATATGTATGTATAGATATACTGTATATATATACTATATATGTATGTATATATACTGTATATATGTGTATATATATCCTGTATATATGTGCATATACTGTTTATATGTGCATATATACTGTATATATGTGTATATATACTGTATATATATGTGTGTGTGTGTGTGTGTGTGTGTGTGTGTGTGTGTGTGTGTATATATATATATCTGTCTTTGCTGCTGCTACCCAACTACTAAGCTAATTGCTACTCATTTAGGGAATTTGCAACAAAAAGCATTTAAATAAACATGGTCCAATGCTGAGGTAGATGTGCTTTAGATATCAACTTAATAATACATACCAATGATTTTTTTAGACAATGGGAAGCAAAATAAATACACATAATGAGTATTCTAATGGCAACACTCCACCTTTTTCTTTCATGGCGTGTTTGATGGAGAACAATGTGAAATTGTTATTATACAGACTGTGAAGAAAGAGCTTTGAGAGTACTGAATGCAAAATAAAAACAGTACAGGCTCCACAAACCCCATCAGGCTGGCAACTATGACAACTATTAAAATGTGTGAACTTGGAAGAAAATTGTTTCTATAATTGACAGCATGCTACTTACCAACTAATACATGCCTTGTGCGCTTTAATATCACAGCCTGGCACTTACCTGCAGAGTCACTGAGGAGAGCTGACTTATATCCCAAACTCCTGGAGCTATCATTTCTATGGGAGGCTCGCTCTGTAATGTCATACTGATTAGCTTGGACCTGAGAATAGATTTTCTGCAAAAGACAACACATACAGATAGTAGTCACTACAGGAGGGAAGTTATCATTATCTGTAAATGTTTTCTTTAGAATGTAAACATAATAGGAACTGTATCTGGTAGCTAGAAGAGAAATACAATATTTTACAAGCAGAGTTATTTATTTGTAATTTGTTTTCTAGTATACTACACACATGCAATACAATATTTACAGATATCTAAGCTGACATAATGACATGATTAGAGGATTCAATTTGAGAACATCACAACAATAAAGTGAGTCACACTAGTGGCAAGAAGCTGCACTGTAATCCCAAAGGCATGCAGTTCCAATCCAGCAGCTGCTCCATGAAAGAAGGATGGGCACTCTCCTTCCATGCGATTTACTGCCTCTGTAAAACCCACTAAAGGCTTAGATATGGTCCGGTTCTGACTCAACAACACATGATGACAACAACAACAACAGTGCATATCAAAGTTATGTTTACAATAAATGATAATCCACTGAGTGGGTAACGTTGTTAGATGCCATCAAGTCAACTACAACTCATAACACTACTCAAAACAAAAATCTGAACCTTGCTGTAATACTACATCAGCCTCACAATCTCCTTTATGCCCAAGCCCACTGTGGCTGTCATTGCATCACTCCATCCCTTTGAGGGGCTTCCTTTTATTTGCCAACCCATTTTCTTTCCTAGCATGATGATTATCTCTAAGGACTGATTCCTTCTGAAAGCATACCTCAAGTAAGTGAGACAAAGTTTTACCATCGCTGCCTCTAAGGAACACTTTCCTTAGAGGGTGCCCTTCCTTCAACACTAATTTGCTTATTCACTTGGCTGTTGTTTATGCACCACTGAGTCACAAGTTACTCATTGCTGACCTTTCAATAGTAGGTTTTCAGAGGCTCGATCATGAAGGAAAGAGGTGGAGTGTTGAGCATCTTTCTTCTGTGGAACTGCTGTTAGATTTTAACTGTGTGCTTTTGGATTACCAGTGCAACTCCTTACCGCTAAGTCATAAGAGCTCTTTGTTCTTTCAGTAGTCCATAAATTTATGCTTATTGCCAACATCACAATTCAAAGGCATTAATTATTCTTTGGTCTCCCTTAATCATTTTTCAACTTTCAGATGCATCAAAGCAATTGAAAATACCAATACTTGCATCATGTACATCTTTGTCTTTAAACTGACATTTTTGATCTTTAGAACTTTGGAGAGGTCCTTGACAGAAGATTTCCATGATATAACACATCTTTTGATTTCTTGAGTACTGCTACCTAGAATGTAGATTTTGAGAAAAAAATAAATTCTAGAAAGCGTTGGTCTTTTTTCCATCTATCATTATGCTGCCTACTGAACCAGTAGTGACGATTTCTGTCTTCTTGATGTTGAAATGTCATCCATATTGGATGCTGTAGTCTTTAATATTCTGTAGAAAGCATGTTAAGTCTTCCTCACTTTAAGAAAGAACTGTAGTATCATTTCCATAACATAGTTTGTTGAAGAATCTTCCACAAATTTTGATGTCACATTGTTCTTCAGATTGTCAAGCTTCTTGAATGGCTTGCTCTGCATACAGATTAAATAGGCAAGGTGAAAGGACACAATCGACTTGCTCTGCATACAGATTAAATGGGCAAGGAGAAAGGGCACAATCCTGACACACATCTTTTCTCAGTATAAACCATATAATGTTCCCCTATTCTACATGGATAAATGCTTCTTTGTCTAAGTTTTAATAGTTTAAAACTTCTTCTTTGTTTAAGTATTTAAAGTTTTGCATGAGTATAATTGTCCTGAGATTTCCATTCTTCTCAATGGGATATATGCAATAGCATTATAAAATTTTTAAATATTGTAGAACTTACCAAATGGTAAAGCAAAGATGTGAAATAAGTGCTCACTTTTGAGAAAATAGTACTGACTGACTTGTTACAAACCTTCAATTTAGAAAAAGAAATATCTTTGAAGTGAAATAAAATAAAACAATACAATAATGTGTGCCTTTACTTATTTTCCATATTAAAAATGTTTCCATAATTGTTTCTGGTGTTTTATTGTTGTTACTATTACCTATTATTAATTTGACTACAATTCATGATAACTTTTAAGAGCAACACAGCTGAACCTTGTCCTGTGCCATCCTCATTTTCTCTTGACCCCACTGTACGGTCACTGTGTCAATTCACATTGTTGAGGGTCTTTTTCTCTTTCTCTGACCTTTCACCTTTCCTAGAGTGATGTCTATTTCCAAGAAGTGACTCCTCCTAACAACATGTCTAAAGTATTTGAGACAAAGTTTCATCATTCTTGTGTCTAAGAAGCACCTTTTTTGGGCTTCCTCCATGAAAGACTTGCTTGTTCTGATGGAAGTCCATAGTATATTCAGTATTCTTCTTCAACACTATAACTCAAAGGGAATTATTCTTCCCTTTTCCATGGATTATTATCCATTTTTCACCTTCCTGATGTACAGGAATGAATTGGGAAGATTGTGGTTTGGAACAGGCACACCTCAATGTTTAAACTGACATTGCTGCTCTTCAGCACTTTGTAGAAGTCTTTGAAAGTAGATTGTTCCAATGTAGTGATGATTCTAGCATCTATTAATTGCCACAATGGTGACTGGAAGGTGGGACTAAAAATCTCAGACTAATATCCCCGAAATTGAAACTACTTTAGAGTCAATGAAAACTTTTACTCTTCAGAACAATTCCAGTTTTTCTCTGTACAGTGACAAATTCCCTGTGAAGTTTTAAATATACGAGTTCTAAATTTATAGGAAGAAAATCTCAAATTAACATGAGATCTACAGAATGATAATGGTTGTGGAAAATTCACAGAGGAAATGCTTCCTTGTGTACACACAGATTATTCATATCCTGAGCTTTCAAAAAAAATAAAAATCCTAAATTACTTAAGCAAATAAATGTGCAGACTGAAAAGACTTTAAACAGCAAAGAATTCAGGGGTGGTGTTCACAGCTTTAGAAATATCCAAATGGAAATTACCAAATGGAATTTTAAAAGAAGTTTCCAACCAAAGCTATACTCCTGAAGGCACGTGGTTCAAATTAACCAGCTGTCCTGTGGGAGGAAGATGGATAATCTCTTCCAGTGTGATTTGCTGCCTCTGAATACCCACTGGAGGGACAGCTATGAGTAGATTGCAATTCTATGGTACTCAACAACAACAAAAATAGGTATTTATGTTAGAATAAGATAGTTGGAAATGTGTTTTAATGACAATTCAAAATATCTTTTGATCTTACAAAGTGAATATAAAAGTAGAACTGAAGAAATGGGATTAATTCTGTTGGAGATGATAAGACTGGCTCAGGATAGGGCATGTTTCAGAGCTAGTGTACATAACCTCACTCTGAGTCGCAGGCGACTTGGTGGCATATAACATCACCACCACCACAAAATCAACAGAACTGAAATTTACAAAGAACTTTACTACATCAAGTAAGTGGTTTTAAAAATAATGCAAATCTCCATCTTGTCATCTAGCACAAACATTGCAAAACATGACCAAAAAAATGTTAAAAGTTTTTCCTAGATATTGAGATTTCTGAGGCTTGTCTTCTCTATTTTCTCTATTACGGCATGAAATTAGAAAATTATCTGGCACGAGTATTTACATTATAAACATTATTAGGCATGTATTTTGATAGAACTCAAAGAAACATTTCTAAAAGTATAGATTTTGAGTTTTCTTTGCACCTTTGTAGAAGAATTTATATCTTTTAATAGAAAAAGACAAAGCTATCTACAAAAGAAAGTAACCAAGGAAGCATTTCTGGAAAGGAGTTCTAAGGGCTTTTATTTGGTGAGGGCATACAATTAGATCATCTAAGCTGATATTAATTGGACATAGCAGGCCGACCTTGGCTGCATTCTGTGCTACTTTTGAGAAAACAGATTAACCAAGGAGAATTTTTTAAAAAAATCTCTAATAAACCAATCAAAGCCCAGATTATGAGATTCATTGATTGAAAGCTTCAACTATAAATTCTTGCTAAGGTAGCAGTCATTCCCTTAAAATTTTGCATCACTTTCATGTCCAGCTAAAGGACCTGTTTGTTTTCTTATAGTATGAACAGTGACATACTTTTATAAAGAAAATCAGGCTTATGTAGTCTGTATATCTGAGTGAGTAAGCATTTTCATCCAAAAGAGCCTGCATGATTTTAAAAGGAATATGAATCTTATCGAATTGACCCATATTGTGTTACTTGGAGGCAAAGATGGTGAAGCTTTGATCACATTCTTTGGGCATATTGCTACGAGAGGCTATTCCATGGAAGGGGTCATCATGCTGGGAAAGATGGGCAACAGGGAAGGAGAGGGATTCCCTTAGAAAGATGGATTGACATGGTGACTACAGAAATGAGTTTCAATGTGTCAGGGATGGTGAGGATGGAACAGGATAGGACAGGGTTCACTTGTTCATAGGGTTGCTGTGACTTGTACTCTAGTAAATGGCACCTAACAATAACAATAACATTGGTCATATAAGGAAAGAAAAACATATCTTTCTTCACAAAGAGAAAAATAACACTTTTCTTCTCATTCGTTGCATGGCTGGAGCTTATGGGGAACAGTATAATATGTTAATTGCATTTACTTCTCCTTCTTCATTGTACAATGTACTTATGTCTATGGCCGGATCACATTTATAGGTTTAGACACAACTTCACTCTTAGAATTTGGATGATCTAAAGCTGCTATTTACAGAAGACAGGAAGACCCAAGAATCTGTATTTCTCTCTGTGAATGCTGTTTTTATCAATAATCACCATGCCCTTAATCCTGAACAAGACAGGTTTAGGTGAGGAAAGGATCAAAAAAGAGAACAGAGATGAATTCTGGAATCCGAACTGTCTGCTCACTCAAACGTCTCACCAGACACCCTTACACTTAGTTATTTTGAGTGGAATATCCTTAGAAAACAATGATATTGCTAAACAAAACATTGGAAAACATTTGCTCTAGAATACTCCTATGT